CTATATGTATAAAACATTTTGAGGTAAGGGGCTATTTTCTTTGTTATTTTCTTTGTTATCTAAGGGTTACTAGCTAAGGGCTACTAGCACATAAACCCTTTGATTACTGAATGAACCTATTGTTCTCTTTTGTTCTCTTTACTGTTACATAGCCCCTAAACCCAAAATGTTTGCTCGGACGGACTGACAGACGGACGGTTCGATTTTAATATGCCAACCTTTAGGAGCATAAAAAGGGGCGGAAAAGTTTTAAATTGATTCTAAATATGACCTTAGTATTTTATGACAACATATGACAATTGTTTGTAGTTTAGTTGTACTCAATAATGTATTTTTTCTGTGATATGGCAGAATAAGGTACGACCCTAGCGGAAAATAGGTACTCCATATTTGGATATGTATTGTAATTATTTTGATTACAACAAAATGGCATATCTTGTCATAAAGGAGCAACATAAAGGACGTTCATATAGACATATAGGCAAAATTAAAACTGTTCAATAGAATTTCTTAAAAATTGGCATATTGTTAGGATATGATAACAGAAACATTTTAAGCAAAACAAATTGGGGTCACCGTTCTTATTTTTAGTTATCTGCCCTTGAATTGGAATTTTTCGTTAAATTAAAGGGCAGATAATTTGCAATGAAAAAAAAAACATTACATTTTTTTCTTTTATTTTCATGAAGCTTACCTTCGTTTTAGTCGATATGCAAAATTTCAAGAAGGAATTTAGAGTGGATAATTTTTCTTCCACTTCTTCTACATCTGTGCATATTTTTCTTAAAAATGGCCTTTATAAAGAATGTAAAGTATCTCTATTTTCATTGAAAAAAAATTAAAAGAAATGATATAAGGAATTGTATGTTAATATGTATCGTACTCAACAGTAAAAAGAAAAATATAATTCAGAAGTAAAAACAAGAATTCATTTAAGTATGTATAAGTTATCTGCCCTTGAACTGACCTCAAATAAGTAGAAAATTCTGATTCAGGGGCAGATAACTCAAAAACGAGGATGGTGACCCCAATTTTTTTTTCGCTTAAAATGTTTCTTTTATCATATTCTAAGAACATGCCAAGTTTAAAGAAATTCTATTGAACAGTTTTAATTTTGCCTATATGTCTATATGAAAACTCCCGAAAACGTCCTTAATGTTGAAAATCTAAGGATTTTATTAATACAGTCAGTTAAGTGTTAACACAGTTATTACATCATCGTTAAAACAGTTAGCATTTTTTCTAACCTTGACACCCCTAGTCATAGGCACTGTTAATAACAGGTTATATGGCCCTCAGGTGCCTGTTAGTTTATTTTTTAAGGTGGTAAGGCGGCCACCTGAGTAGAACCATCGATATTCTGTAACCTGGCTGGACATGAAAAACTTCTGATGTTAGAGGCCAGCAGACATTTTATTTCTAATCTTTTACATGTTTTGTTGAAAGAAAATTATACTTTTACACCTGAAAAGAATTATATTTCTATAATAGAAATATATTTTACTTAAAAACCTATTACAGCTTCAGATTAATCTTGCAAGTCAAACTTTAACCGGGAATTTCTTTAAGTTAACGAAGGGGCTATATTTCATTCAAAATTCACACACTAGGAGATAGGGATCTTGAATAATTACCTATAATTTCAATACAGAAAACATACGTGAAGTTTTAAAAGAATACTTTCAATTGTTTGAAAGATTTTTTTTACCATGCATAAACAAAAGGGCCATGATGGCCCTGATGTCGCTCACCTGTATATAGGGCCCCGGAGCGGGGCAAGTTTAAACCTCAGGGCTTTCATTTGAACAAACTTGGAAGACACCCATTAGAAGATGTTTCATGATGTTAAGTTTTAACTACACACATATAATGAAAAACAATGACCTCTCCCCCCACCCGGCAGGGCCAATTTTAGCACAAGGGCTTTTATTTGAACAAACTTGGTTGACACCCATAAGATGATGTTTCATGCTAAACATCTAAGCTCTAGCTCATTGGGTTTATTAAAAGAAGTTTTTTAACTTTTTACTATCCACATAATTAGTTAAAAACCATGACACCCCTGGAGCGGGGCCAGTTTTGACCCAAGGGCTTTTATTTGAACAAACTTTGTATACACTTACAAGAATCATGCTTAATATCTAAACTCTAGCTATTTGGGTCTTTTCAAAGAAGATTTTAAAGTTTTTGCTATACACATATAAGGAAAATCAATGACCCCTGGGGCTGGGCCAATTTTGACCCCAGGGATTTTATTTGAAAAAACTTGGTAGACACCCATTAGAAGATGTTTCATGCTAAATATCTTAGCTCTAGCTCTTTGATTTCTTTAAAAGAAGATTTTTTAAGTTTTTACTATATGCATACAGGGAAAAACAATGACCCCTTGGGCGGGGCCAATTTTGACCCCAGGGCTTTTATTTGAACAAATTTGGTAGACACTCATTACAAGATGTTTCATGTTAAATATCTTAGCTAGCTCTTTGCGTTCTTTAAAAGAAGATTTTTTAAGTTTTAACTATATGTATATAGGGAAAATCAATGACCCCTGGGGCTGGACAAATTTTGACCCCAGGGCTTTTATTTGAACAAACTTGGTAGACACTCACTCCAAATATCTAAGCTCTAGCTCTTTGGGTTTTTTTAAAAGAAGATATTTTAAGTTTTTTTTCTTTCGGTTGCTATGGCAACCAGAGTTCTGCATGGAATTAAATTCTTCGATCAATATTCAAAGGTGAACACCAAAAGAACATTCATGTGAAGTTTGGATGAAATTGACTTAGTGGTTTATGACGAGATGTCATTTAAAGTAAAAGTTAACGGACGGACGGCCGGACGGACGGACGCCGGAGGGCCGGACGTCGGCCGAAAAGCGATCACAAAAGCTCACCCTGTCACTTTGTGACAGGTGAGCTAAAACTTAAACAGGCATTCCTTATGTTACAAAGAGCTTTAACTGTTTGAGATTTTTGTTTGTTGCTAAGTTTTTTTTGTTTTTATATGGGAGGGAGAGAGAGGGGACAAATGGATTTTAAGTTTTTTCCCAGTTAAATGATGGAGGAAAACCTTAGGTGCCCCTAAAGTGCATTATTTCTGACACAAGCCGGCACCTGAGTAGATCTACCAGCATCAAGCCTTGAACAGAAACACACAACAAGAGGGTCATGATGGCCCTGGATCGCTCACCTGACACAATCGCATCCAAGCAATGTCTAAAAAAAACATCATGGCCAAGTTTAATGACAACTGAGTCAAACATGTGACCTCTAGTGTGTTATAAAGATTTTTCCATATTTGGGCAATGTGACCTAATTTTTGACCGGACACGACCCATATTCAAACTTGACCTAGAAATCCCCAAAACAACCTTCCTGACCAATTTCCAGGAAATTTGGATCAAAACTGCAGCCACTAGAGTGTTAAAAAAGATTTTTCTATTTTTAGCTTCTGTGACCTAGTTTTTGACCGGACATGGCCAATCTTTGCACTTGACCCAGAAATCATCAAAACAACCTTCCTGAAAAATTTCCAGTATATTTGAATCAAAACTACAGCCACTAGAGTGTAAACAAGCTTTTTCTATTTTTAGCTCCTGTGACATAGTTTTTGACCTGAGATGACCCATCTTCGAACTTAACCTATAAATCATCAAAACAATCTTCCTGACAAATTTCCAGAATATTTAGATGAAAACTGCAGCCCCTAATGTGTTAACAAGCTTTTCTATTTTTAGCTCCTGTGACCTTGTTTTTGACCGGAGATGACACATCTTCGAACTTAACTTAGATATCCTCAAAACAACCTTCTTGACAAAATTCCAGAATATTTAGATGAAAACTGCAGCCACTAGAGTGTTAACAACCTTTTTCTATTTTTAGCTCCTTTTACCTAGTTTTTGACCGGAGATGACCCATCTTCAAGCTTGACCTAGATATCATCGAAACAACTTTCCTGACAAATTTCCAGAATATTTGGATAAAAACTACAGCCACTAGAGTGTTAACAAGCTTTTTCTATTTTTAGCTCCTGTGACCTAGTTTTTGATCGGAGATGACCCATCTTCAAAGTTGACCTAGATATCATTTAAACAACCTTCCTGACAAATTTCCAGGAAATTTGGATCAAAACTGCAGCCACTAGAGTGTTAAAAAGATTTTTCTATTTTTAGCTTCTGTGACCTAGTTTTTGACCGAAGATGACCCATCTTCAAGCTTGACCTAGATATCATCGAAACAACTTTCCTGACAAATTTCCAGAATATTTGGATGAAAACTACAGCCACTAGAGTGTTAACAAGCTTTTTCTATTTTTAGCTCCTGTGACCTAGTTTTTGATCGGAGATGACCCATCTTCAAAGTTGACCTAGATATCATTTAAACAACCTTCCTGACAAATTTCCAGAATATTTGAATGAAAACTGCAGCCTCTAGAGTGTTAACAAGCTTTTTTCTATTTTTGGATTCTGTGACCTAGTTTTTGACCCGAGATAACCCATCTTCGAACTCGATCTGTATTTCATTGAGACAAACATTCTGACAAAGTTTGATGATGATCCAATCAAAACTGTGACTGCTAGACTGTTCACAACCCAATTGTTGACGACGCACGACGACGGACGCCGGACATAGCCCCATCACTATATCTCACCTTGACCACTTCGTGGTCAGGTGAGCTAAAAATGATCTCAAAGACATGATGTGTGAACTTGTAGGTAAATATATCTTTTATAGCTGATGACATATAAAGTTGCAAGCAAAATGTTAAACCAAGTGATAGGCCAATACAAAGATATTTAAGAAAGTTACACTATTCTTCAAACAGTCAAATATAAAAGAGCTGTCAGTGGAACAGCATGCTCGACTATTCACAGTGCTCAATGGTAAAACAACAGCCTGGTCAGACTGCACAGAGTGATGAGTTTTTCATTTTTGTTTCCAGTATTCCAAATTTTCAGAGATATTATAGCTTTATACAATGTAAACAATTGTATTTAACATTACCTATATCGAATCTTTCCCATGCTCGTTTCCGACTGTACCCATTCACTTTCTTGAATGCAAACACCACTGCCTGAAATTTTGAACATAAAATTAAAACATCAAATTATATACACTGAAACATAACAAACATGTTTGTTACAGGAATTTCATGTACTTTCCCCCCGCGTTTATGCCGGTATTTGTTTCAGACACCTCATTAGCTCCTACATTTGATTACGACTATGACAATCTTCGAGTTGTCCATTAATCACTTTGTGGGATTGCTGGAGTTTCCGGTTTTTCATTATCAAAATTAGCATCTTAAATGATTATTTGTTCCTGAAGCTTGTAAACAAATTTGTTACAATGATATCCTCGACTATATAGTGAAACTTTTAGATGGAAATATTTGAGTATCATATATGAACATTTATTTGATACATTTTATATCTTTACTTAGTAAGATGCAAATCTCAACCATTGTATTGTTACGTTATTTAATGTTCATTATTACAATACAATTTATTACACGCAAACATGTAAGTATTTTTTCATACATTTTGTAATCATAATACTAACGATATAAAGCCCAATCAATTTATGTCATGTTTATTAAAAGTCCATTATTTTCTTACTGTAAAACACATTCATGCCAAAAAAACTTATAAAATCATGTACCGGTACATTATATATTATGTATAATAGTATAGGGATTGGTTTAAATTTTCCTTTAATAATGCCTATCTATATTTTACAATGGACTGCAACATGAAAATGCACAGTGAGATTTAAACAGACCTGTACGAAATGTTACGTCAGGAATTGGGGCGGAATTTCGGCACTGATTACGCCCAGAAAGTTAAAATTCCTTTAAAATTTTCAGTATATGATAAGGGTTAATTTTACGGGCGGATTTTGGGCGAAAATAGCACGGAATTTGGCACGAAATATGTAAATGAGCAGGAAAAAATTCCGTGCGGATTTTTGAACGGAATTTTAGGCATGGAACTATTGGCACGGAATTCCTGGCACGGATTCTGGGCGGAAATGGCACGGAATTTGGCACGAAATATGTAAATGAGCAGAAAAAAAGGCCGAGCGAAAAACTGGCACAGATCAAGGCACAGAACTGGGCACGGAATCTGAGCACGGAATTTTGGCATGGAATAATCAGAGAAAAATACAATAAACAGTTTGTTTTTTTTTAATTTAGGATGACCATTTTGTCATGTACTTTGGACCATTGATAATTAAATAACTGGCTAAACAATTGTATTTAAACAATCTTAATTAAAAATATGCATCTAAAATTATAGTTTATATGTAATGATTAATTCAATATTCATGAAGTAAACTTCTCTATAAGCTTATGAGTAAACATACATGTATGCTTATATGATTATTCTCTTAAAATCACATAATCACATCTAATTGTATTTCAATAATCCAAGTTAAGATATGAAAATTATCACAGTTTGTTTTTCTTCACAAATAAAAGATATCCTTTTTGTCTACATACAGAATACATCCTACATTAACTTGAAGTGTCACAAACAACTTTTTTAAAGTGCAAGTATCTGTACATGACTTTTGTAGGTACTGCTGCTTTCTTTGATCACCTTTATTTCAACTATTATGTTGTCTGTCACAAACCAAAACTTTCTTTCAAACTGATTATCAAACCACAATGTTTCCCCATTATGTCAGCTACCGTCCTGTGCAAGTGTATCCTAGTGGCACGTCTTGTAGTTGCGTTCACCTTTAAGGACAAAAATTACAATTAATTTAAAAAGAATGGAAACAAATTCTGTTCTATGGTAAAATACAATTGTGTTCCATTATAATATTTCATCTGGAGTGTTAAAACACTGTACTCAAGCAAATGCAGTTTCAAAAATACTATAGCAACATCAGTTCACAGTAAGCAGATGATGTAACCATTTGCCCATTTATATAATGAGTACTTTAGTAATTACACTTTTGATGTCAAAATTGATAATCTTTACATTATCTGGGAAACAATTGTACTCTAAAAATGGTTTGTTCAGATATTTAAAAATACATGTTATTACCTTTTCAGACTCCAAGGTAGTGAACTATTGCTGATACTATAAACACTAAGTTGGCAAATTTTCAGTCTGCAATGGCCCAGTCTGCAATTATATATTCTCATAATTTAAATTATATGTATATTATAACATGTGAGATCTTATAGAAATTTAGCACTGTAAAACATAAGCTCAGAGGCCAGTCTATGGACCATGACCTTTAAACAAATAATTTTGGTAATACATCTAGATTTAATAATCAGAAAATTATTCACAGCATGTAAATGTAGTTTGAATAATAATTTTATCAACATTACTTTATAGTTATCAACCTTTTTTTATAGAAACAATTTTTGCTTACTGCCACAATATATTTTGATTGTTTATAATTTTTTGCATAAATGTATCTGAAAGTTGTTTACCTGAAACTTTTTACTATGATTCTTTTGTATAATCTTCCTTTCTCAGTTCACTCTTAGTTCATTTACAACAACCAAACATTTCCACAATCTTGTCACATTTAGATAAATGTTTTCTTTGAAAATTCCAAAATATGTACACAACATTCAAAAACAAGATGTAATCTCCAAAATTTTGCATGAAATTCCTTTGTGGTGGCATTCAATAAGCAGCTGACCCATATATCTGAGAATTCAAATTGTTCAACAGTTTAACTGGTTGGACAGATCCATCATTATGTGAAACAGGGATTATCCAAAAATATCAAAACAGTCCCACCATCTTTTTATTTTTTATTTTTTTGAGTGTAAAAACATATCAAATGATAAGTAAATGTAGAATTTGAAAATCATAATAAGTTTTTGAAAAAAATCAATCAATTACCTTCTTAACTGATTGTTTTGAAATGTATACTGCATAGACTACAAATGTACTTTAATAATCACATGGAACAGTCTGATCAATATACCAGAATGCCCCATCAGAAGATTAGTCATGCATAGATAGAGGGAAACACAAGTGTTTATCATTAGTCTTATCTGATCTTAACCTTAGTGTAATATTTATTTATCCTGACTTATAAGAAATTATCAAGCACACAGTGGTTATTATATTTAACACGTACATAATTGGCAATAATGATTATATATGTGTTTATTGTACGCAATCATAAATTTAATGGAAATAATTAAAATATATGTGTTTATTGTACACATAAACTAAGTGGCAGAGTAAAGTGTAAATAATATAAATGTATGTCTACAAATTTCCAAACAAACTTGCTAGTTGATTATGAACTATTTTATATGGCATTTAAAATATAAATTAAAGTTTAAAATATCATTCTTAAATTATTTAACAATTAGTTGCTTAAAAGTCATGCTAAAATATATAGATACACACTGCAGGGAAGAATTACTCATGCATTAAGATATGTAATAATTTAATTAATTAGCATACAATATACATTTAACTTCAGTATCTTTAGTAATGTATATATTACTCGAAATAAGCTATATGATATAGAAAATTAAATAAAATTTAGCATTAGATTTTTAAGCTCTTTTGAAAATTAATAACGTTTGACAAAATCTGTTTAAATAACAGATATAAATAACACTTCAATTATTTCACCAATTATCTTTTAATTGTTTAATTTCCATTCTTGTGTACTAATTTAATAAAGTATTCAGTGAAAACTTCCAAACAAAAAATTCTAAGTGTAAAATAATTCCACCTCAAATGACTAAGATTGAAATTACGCCCGACAGAAAAATCAAAGTTCTGAATTCCGCCCCATTCTATCTCAAGAAAAAGTTAAGTTTGAAATTCCAGCCAAGGTACAAAATTCCGCCCGTAATAAAATTCCGCCCGGAATGGTTCTTGTTTTACGCCCAGAAATGTTTTCCGTGTGGGGCGGACTGACACGGAATTTGCTTTTCCGTGCTTAGTCCGCCCAGAAAGCAATGATTCCATCCCAATTCCGTGCCATTTACGCCCAGAATCCGTGCCAAAATTTCGTACAGGGTATATGATGAGCATCATTTCCATATAACGATATGTTTTATAACAATCCAATTGACCAGCTAAATATGGCTAAGAATGGGTAACTTTCGTTAAAAAAACCCAACAACAACAACATAGTATATGATCTTCTTAGTAGTCACTGATGCAGGGACAGATATTCTGTACATGATACCTAAATTCTGTACTTTGATCACCTATGAATATGTTACGACTGTATGTGGAAGTACACCAGATTCAACAGCGTATTCAACAGAGTCAAAACAAAATCAAAGAAAATTATCAGAGGACAAAAAAATTATTTTTCTAACTTTTTTGATCTCAGTTTGATTTTAATTTTATCTTTACACGTGCCAGATATAGCATATGTTCAGGTATCAACAAAAAATTTGATATACTTCATGTACATAATAACCCTTGCTCACAGATGGAATTGTTTCCCCAAGAACCAAGAACTAAAGGTAGTTGACTGTGTACTAATGTGAAAAACAGCGTTGTCTGAGAAAAAACATTTTAGTTCTTTGACTATACTCAGATCAGTATGATCACAATGCTTGATTTACACAGTACATTAAAAATTAAAATTTAATACTATACCCATTACACTGACATGTGCAATTTTCATAGCTGTTGAAGTCAAATGTTTGTCTATTTTACTAAATGTTTTGTCACCTTAGTGCAGTAACGGAGTAAGTTCTTCTAAATTTAATAGGAGGTAATCAGTTATTGCACTCAGGTGACAAAATTTTATTTTGTATGTGAGGTTTGAGAAATCAGCCGATTCAGAATTTTTATTTTTCAACGAGACTGATAAGAAACTGATTTTTTTTAATAATTTCTCCAATGCCAGGGACTTTTGTCAATAAGTACATTAAATCTTGAATGTTTTTGTTGATACTTGAACATATTTCACATCTGGCATATATCAATGAAACTATCAACTCAAACCTAGATCAAATAAATGTCATATGCACTGATAAATAAAATTGTTTTTACATCATGTATTTTCCTTCGATTTTGTTTTGACTGAAAACACGTATACTGTAAAGGTGTTGTGAAGTGACGTGAGTGACGTGAAAATATTGACGAATTTCACAAATTGACAAAAATCACTGAAAATTTCTCTAGCTTAGATTTTAACCAACCTGTTTTCAGTTTTAACTCTACTCTAAGATTGGTGATTCGCTAATATTTCCTAGTGCAAGATTTCGGGAATTTCCTATTTTTCGACACGCGGAAATATCCGATTATACATTTCATGTATATCTGTAATATGTCCGTTAACATTACATTTCATCTCTAATTACCACTACTGACACTATCATTACTGACTTGGTAATATGATGACGATATTATCAAAGAAATGATAATTACGTTTTATAAGACATTGACATTTGTTTCCCATTATTATCACTGTCTTGTAAATCATGCTGTGAAATTAACAAGTCAATAGTATAGCAAGCAGAACAATGCCCCCTTCAGGAGTACTATACAGTGCATGCCAATCTATCAATTCATTATCATACTTCATGGATACGTTAAAGAATTCTAATTCAGTCATGAAAATTATTTTAAAAAATGTTTAAGTTCTGATCTCACTTATACAACTCAAAATCTATGCATTTGTGGCTTTTATAAAAAACAAGAGAGCCATTACAGGCCTTATATCGCTCACCTAATTAAAAATATTCTACATGACAAAGAATAAATTATAAGGAATTAATAATAATACTATGAAGAAAAGGCAGATATAAGGTCAAAATCTAAATCTGATATTACAATGTTTATATCTGCATCTAAAAAATTGAACAAGCCAAAGAAAAAACACTAACTACTCAGTAGCTAATGTGGAAGTCAGTGGTTGTAATAAGAAGTTAATAGCTGATTCACTTGTTGCTATGGACCATTACTGGTTAATGACAGTCAAGGTCAAATAAATGTCATGGTTACATTTGAACTAATCACCATACAGCTTTTGTCATAAGAGTTTCTTTATCCAATCATAAATCAAAGCCATAAAAGAATCAACAACTTTTGACTGACTAAATTCCATATTTGACTAATGACTACGGTCATTTATAGGTCAATGTCAATTTTGTGATCAGGTAAGCTAAATATGCAAACATATATACTGAATAAAAACTCAAATCTACATACCAAAATAAAAGCAACTGTGCCATTAACACCAAAACTCCAAAACAGAGAACACTTACCTCTGGTACCCATACATCAAACACATAGTTCACATCATCTAAATGTATGTTCTTATTTATCTGTTTAATCCATGTCAAGTATGTGCTCAGTAGTAACTCTATCTACAAAGTAAGAATTGGTATGAAAAAACATGTATGTACTATTTTCATTGCCATTACAAACCATTCAAATTGCCACTAATACAATATTTATTGCCATTTTAAACCAATCAAATTGCCATTAATACATTGCCATTGTAAACCATTCAAATTGCCTTTAATACAATATTTATTGCCATTATAAACCATTTAAATTGACATTATTACAATATTTATTGTCAATATAAACGATTCAATTGCCATTAACCCTTTACCTCATAAATACGCGAAACAACGCACTTTTGACCCCCCCCCTCCCTTATTTAGGCCTGAAATAGTGAAAAAATGTCCTATTTGACCCCCAACACATGTTTTCGTTCGAGAAATGTTGCTCAAAAGTGAGCGATTTTTCGGGCCCGCTCCCCATTCAAAAGATACATCAGGGGGTTGCCAGAAGGGGGATGTGCCCCCTTTTATTTGGGGGGGTTGAAGGGGGCGGAGTCCCCCTCATTGCCAAAAAAATTTTGGACTTGTGAGAGGCTAAAAATGACCCAAGATCGATCATAAGGTAACGTGTAACCAACGCTGAAAAGCCTTTTACTCTATCTCAATCCCTTGAGAAGTTGCAGCACTTTGAAATAAATTTTGATAGAATACATCGAGGCAAAATAGTGATTTTTGGCAATTTTGAGATGTCCCTTCGTTGCCATGGTAACAGGAAATTTCAGACTGAGCATGTCGTTACAAAGGCAATGGTCCAGTTAACATTTGTGCCAAATTTGATTAGTATTGAACCTTTTTTATAGTTTCATAGCAGTTTGAACATGTAACAGGAGGCTTTTCAGTGAAAACGGCCATTTTTCACAATATGCTCATGAGGGAAAGGGTTAATACAAAATCTATTGTCATTGTAAAACATTCAAATTGCCATTAATACAATATTTATTGCCATTGTAAACCATTCAACTTGCCACTAATACAATATTTATTGCCATTATAAACCATTCAAATTGACATTAATATAATATTTATTGCAATAAAATACCACTATTATTGCCATTAAAGATAATCTATATTGCCATTAAACACTATTTATATATTTCCAGTAAATACTATTTTCATTACCTTACTGTATTCTCTATCAATAAAGAACATTTTGGAATGATATACCACATTTATAACTATATACCAATTATGTTGCCATAAAATACCATATACTCTGTACACATATTGCCATAGAACGCTTTTTTCATCTTTATAATGTACCATTTATAATATTGCCATCATATACCATATAATATCATTCATTATGCCATGAAGCTATCAAAGAACCAGAGTTTTACCAGACGTAAAAACCCACATTTTACATGCACAAAATGACTCAAGTGACCCCTTCAAAATGAAAGAAAATAATTATAATTTAAAAAAGAGGGCAATCATGAACATATTATGGACAGTTTAAGAGTCAAAACAGAACAAATCCATTTTCTCCTTTTTTTGGTTGGGTTTTATGTCGCACCAAAACAGTAGGTCATAAAGCAACTTTGGAGGAAGACCCCTCCGTGCATTACCTCAGACAAGAAAGGGCCACCCAGGTAGAACCACCAGCTTTCTGTTAGCTTGCTTGATAGTTTTCTCCCATGAGAAAATCCAAATTCCAATGTCTCATGCAGAATTCAAAGGCATGTGATGTGAACTTTTTAGCCAATGAAAATACAACCATTTGACTACTGACGTCCCACAAAGCAAGGATACATATATCATTATAAATCAGAATTTTCAATGCAATTCAAAATATCCAGCTACAATTATGACTAAAATAATGCAAGAACCCATATCCTTCTGCATCATTTGTTGTCGGTTAATATTTACCTGTTCATCATCGTCAATCGGACCAAATCCACGATGTTTCATTTTAGCTCGCTCTCTAATGGTACCGGTTAAAAACTTATCATGCAGTTCACTTTTTGTCGTACCATTAAAAATCTTTTCTAAGAAATCCTGAAAAAAATATAAAAAATACAAGTTTCAACACTTTGCCTGTACAGGTGCTACTAGTGTAGATCAAAATCAGCGGGCACATCTATGCCGTCTGATTATGGTCTGCACCGTTTGCTATTCAGTCAGTACTTAATTTATTTTTTTTTTTTAAATTCCCTAAAAATGATGAATGGTTTTGGTCTACGCATTAAGATGGACAAGACCATTTAATATATGTAGTGTGTATGTAGTGTAGAGTACAAAAGTAAAAAGGATCGGTCACATATTTGTCTTCGAAACTGGATTTAAGTGGCTAAATCTAGAGACAACAAGTCAACTGAAAACTTTAGACTTATGCCTTGATTTACTGACCTCAACTGGTCCTGTTAGAATTTAGAAAACAACTGTACATTATCCAAGCTTTTTTTTTACTATTAATCACTGTGATTAGTCTAGCAAGCTGTCCTACTGACAGCTCTAGTTTTAAATCCTCTTTTTGCATATTAGAAATCAGAAATTCTTTAACATGTATCACACAAAAAAGTTGGAAAAATTTAACTTCTTTTTTTCAATTTATTTTCTCTCTATAACACACAGAAATAAAGGTTTTTTTTTTCAAAAAGCAATAGCTCTCTCTTCAAATAGTCGAGCTAAATATTAGAGTAACCACTGCCTTTTCAAGTAGGAAAATCATTCATGACCAAAGAATAACATAACAGAAGATGTCCCATAATGCACTTAAAACCTGGTAATTTCAACTCAAAGAAAATTAAATTGTTGTACAGGCTTTATAAATTTACATCATAACTTAGATCTTTTTATCAAAGTGATTTTATTTATAAAATCTTGAATCGACCAGTCAATGAAACGCAGCTCCTTAACCCCTGAAGAATAGCAGAGACTTTGACTTTTTTTTAATTACCTAATCCATTGTAAAGGTCCCTGCCGTTGAAAGACAGTGTGATGGTAATATTGGTTAACATATTTAATATTCAATTACTCTGAAAATATAATATAATTTCTATTTTTTGTGATCTAGAAAGACTGGTGTGTCCAGTTAGTTCAGAAATTCAGAGATGATGAACACTTATCTTCATAAATGCCTGTTAAATGCAATTAAAACATCCTTGCAGATGGTGTGAAAATGACATGATAAGTTTAACTAAGAAATCAACAGTTTGACAGTCGCATGGGATAGAACACCGGTGTCGCTTGCCTCATTTAGCCTCTTTTGATATTTTATTACCTTTTATTGTGTAACAATTTGTAGTCGAAACTTGTTTTAAGGTTACTTTTTTGAAAATGTCAAAGAACCGGGTTGCTATTATGTATGTTAGGTTGAAGGTAGTAATTAGACACGATTAAACATTTGTTGTTCTTAAATCCCTTTTCTCCTTCACTCATATAAATTCAGATAATATGCATTTGTTAAAACGCTTTTAAATATAATGTTGTTGATTTAATTTCAATTAATTTGTTTATTGGTTATTTTGATTTACTTCCCTTCTTCCCTTCCTATTTATAGTAACAAATTCTATTGATTTAAATAGAAATCGAAAGTAGCATGCAGACGGTGGTAATATTGTGTGCTAAATCTTTGGAAATCATCAGAGTAACCAAATACTCAATCGGGAAAATGACCAAGTACTCAAGTATTGATTTTGGTATTAAATTTTGATGCCATCCCTAAATTTTGGAGATCACATCTGGAACGCAAACATCTAGGCGAGTACAATAGAACCCCCTATTCTCTGAATAGTTGAGTTAAAAACTCCGGGCCTTCGTTACGAAATGCTGGTGTATAAAGTCATAACCTACCTTTGTAGTATCAGATATAAGGAAATCTATCAGTGGTCTGGTTTTTAATTTCCTCTTCTCTACGCTGTAAATATAACAATATTTCATTAAACGTAATACTTTCCAATGATTTTTAACTTTAAAGGAACTCCACTGGGGTCGACAAGCCTAAAAATATTAAATCTGAAATTCTGAAATAGACCAACTGGAGCACCTGAAACAGCAAGATATGCAAAAGATAAATAAGATACAGTCTCAGAAATGTAGAAAATTGTACATTTGTGCTATTCCTAACTTTTCAATTTCTGGCCATTTTTAGAAGCAGCGAAAAACTTTAAAAAAAAAAAATTAAAAAGTAAAGAGGAAATTTCAACATTATTTTGGGGAAAATATGGCACCATTCCTGCAAATAGGATTGAGTGTCATATCCAAACATGTCTAAAAAAATGTTGTGATTTGTGTAACTGAATTATTTTACTTTTTCTAAATAAAAAATCCCCATAAAAGTATAATTACTTTTTTGCTGGGTTTACAGTAAAATGAACACTGAAATGGTCATATGACCACTTTCCACAGTTACTTACACAGTAAAATCATAAGGGGTCACTCCCTGCATTATTTCAGGCACAGGCCTGCGCTTGAGTAGAACCATAGACACACCATAAGCTAGCAAGAGAGCTTCCTAACATGAAAGAATTTTAAGTCTGTAACTGCGTTTAATCCCACAGTAGTTAGGGTCAAGTTACTTGAAGTCACTTGCCCATGGATGCCCCAGATTCAAAACAGGGATAGAATAAAACAATCATACCGTTCTTGCCCTTGTTTGGAGAGACCATTGTTCTCAACCTTTGTCACAATACAGTCGGACATTTTACGTCGTTTCCTGCATGGAGTTATCTTCTCTTCATTCTCCTCTTCACAGTTATCATCTTTTATGTCTTCAGGCTCTTCTTCTTGTGTTATATTTTCTTAAAATAAATCAATCATAATGTCTTATTTTCTGAGAAAAAATACCCTATAAGTGGTTAATTTTGCGATGTGGAAACTTTTGAGATTTTTGCAAAATTGAAATTATTCGCAAAAACATTCGATCACGCAAAAATTATTATTTCACGCAAACTTTCTTCTTTCATTTGAAAACGCGTTTTCATACAGCATCTTACATGAATAAGTTTGACTGTTCAGCTACTGAGATTTATTTTTCTCATTTCTTGTTTGTCTTAACAGGTAACGAAAATGTTTTAATGAAACAAAATGTCAATAACATTAAGGTTATTCATTTAACAAAAGAATGGTTTAGAATATGACAAAGAAATGTGTGGTCAGGTCTTAACAAACTAACAATGGATATTTCAAACAATATTATAAATAATAAAGGTATTAAACAACTGAATAGAACGATTAGAATAATGGCATATTCTTAACATGTACCTGTAATTAATGATATCATAAAAACAGTATAAAGTTCAAGAAATCATATTTTAGCAAATATTTCCACACACAAAAAGTCGACTTTTTGACATTCGCAAAATTTTTGTGACGTAAATATATCCATTAAAAAATCTATTCACGATTCATTTGTTCTTAAAGCTTAACCATTCTTATGGCACATATTCTGTAACAATTCTTGATTTCAAATCACTAAATGTCAAGTTAATTCAAAATAAATTATTATTTGTAAACAAAACCATTTAAATGTTATAATTGGGGTTGATCAAGTAACAGATCACACCTTCCCTTAATCGATAATCGCAACCTCAAGTAAAAGATCAAAGATTTCCCTATATCAATAATCGCAACCTCAAGTAAAATATCAAAGATTCCCTTAATCGATAATCGCAATCTCAAGTAAAATATCAAAGATTCCCTTAATCGATAATCGCAACCTCAAGTAAAAGATCAAAGATTTCCCTATATCTATAATCACAATCTCAAGGAAAAGATCAAAGATTTCCCTATATCAATAATCACAACCTCAAGTAAAAGATCACAGATTCCCTTAATCGATAATCGCAACCTCAAGTAAAAGATCAAAGATTTCCTTAATCGACAATCGCAATTTCAAGTAAAAGATCAAAGATTCCCTTAATCGATAATCGCAACCTCAAGTAAAAGATCAAAGATTTCCCTTTATCAATAATCACAACCTCAAGTAAAAGATCACAGATTCCCTTAATCGATAATCGCAACCTCAAGTAAAATCACAGATTCCCTTAATCGATAATCGCAACCTCATGTAAAAGAATAAAGATTTCCCTATATCAATAATCACAACTTCAAGTAAAAGATCACAGATTCCCTTAATCGATAATCGCAACCTCAAGTAAAAGATCAAATATTTCCCTATATCAATAATCACAACCTCAAGTAAAAGATCAAAGATTCCCTTAATCGATAATCGCAACCTCAAGTAAAATATCACAGATTCCCTTAATCGATAATCGCAACCTCAAGTAAAAGATCAAAGATTTCCTTAATCGATAATCGCAACCTCAAGTAAAAGATCACAGATTCCCTTAATCGATAATCGCAACCTCAAGTAAAAGATCAAAGATTTCCCTATATCAATAATCACAACCTCAAGTAAAAGATCAAAGATTCCCTTAATCGATAATCGCAACCTCAAGTTAAAGATCAAAGATTTCCCTATATCAATAATTGCAATCTCAAGTAAAAGATCACAGATTTCCCTATATCAAAAAACTCAACATCAAGTAAAATATCACATATTTTCCTATTAATCGATAATCAATAATCACAACTTCAAGTAGATACCCATGTAGAGCCACAGACCTTTCTAGCAGTGACCTAAATGAGAAACCTTAGTTACTTATCAATGTAAACCCAGTCTTTATAAATACATTATGTTCCAATCTTCAATGAAGTGAGATAAAATAAGGAAATCCTAAAGCAAAGAAGATGAATTACCTTTTAAGGGTTCCGGCTTTCTTAGGCCTTTTAACGCCTCCTTTGTCATATAATTTTGAGCTTCAGCTAAGCAGGCCCTGAAGAAAGTCCGGTCAACAGATGACAGGTCCTTGGCACTTTCCTACAAATATTTAAGCATTTCTTTACAAAGTTAATTACTAAATACACAAAGTAAACTAGTATAACACTATACGAGCCAATTGGATTAAAACAAAATTTCCAGTTAATTCTTTTCTAAACTATAACAATTACTAAAGCTGAATAATATCTGAATGCAAATTACTTTGACCAAATAAAGCCAAAAAGACATGAAAAGATAAGTAACAGTGCTCGGTAGTAAAAGAGGCTGAATGTATGACAGTAATAAAAAGGGGTACAAAGGTAATGAAACAACACTGACAAACACAAGCATATATATCTTATTTATTGTGATCATTTCATACTTACCAAAATTTCGTCCTTTTTAGGATCACAGTAAGGTATGACCGCCCCTTGGTTACCGTAGCTCAACGTAAAACTGAAATAACATTATTATTATTAATTTTACATCCACATGAATACCATTGTGATCGGTTGCCTTATCCCAATGTCAATTAAGAAATAATATATACTTTATTAATATATATTGCTCAATAACATCACAGTTTGTAGTTCGGACGCGAGGAATTATATCAAGAGGGCATGGCCCGAGTGATATAATGATGCGCATCCGAACGACAAACAATGATGTTATCCAGCGATAAAATCACTGATTTGGATATATTATTTTGATTCTAACATTGCATAAACAAATAAATGCTGCCGTACCTGCTATTAAGTAAAATTGCGTCTGATTTGTTTCCGTACTTATTGCCAGCGCGTTGGATTATATAGTGGTTACGTCACATGTATAGTGATTACGTCACATGTCTAAATATAAAACGTCAAACAGTGACTCTATTGCATAATAACACACACTTTCGGTTCTTCTATGTTCAATAGGGAAAAATGCGGGTCGTGTTAGAATCTGAAATAACAGATAAACACTCACACATTATTTATTTTACATCCAATTTTACGCACTAACACCTATGTCAGCGCGAGTCGAGGCCTATTTTTGTAGATACAGCCACAGATCCCAAGGAACAATGAATTTAAACACTTTTTGGGTCAGTATCATGTTTCCATAAATGACAACTCACAAGGCTTAGCGATAAATTTCAAAGGCAAGAACTTGTCTCAATTTTTTCCAGCTATTCTAGGAAAAGGCCCCTTGCCTATATATATCATCAGGTGCATATTTGTGCCCATAAATAATGCAAGGAGGGGCACCTGAGGTCTTCCACAACCAGTCAAGCTGTTAAGTCACCATATGGAATTATGATTTATCCGTTGGTGCAACATAAAACCCAACAAAAACAAGAACGTGTTTGTTAAACACAAATGCCCCCGGCTCAGATTCCTGTCAGTAGCAATATTTCAAAAAATGTTACCCATTCACTCAGTTATGGACAGAAAAATTGCCAAAAAATTGTAAACACAAGTTATATAGCTTGACAAAGTCATGGCATTTTGTAATTGTGAAAAATATAAGTTGCCAAGTCATTGCTCTGACTTGTGAAGTTGAAAGATATTCAACTTCATACAAGTTATCTTCCTACCAAATATGAAATACATCTGTCAATAAATAAAGGCTGTATGGACAAAAGTGTCAAAATCTATTTTTAGCACTGGTGACCTTGACCCAACTGACCCCTTACTCCATCCAAAGGAAGAATACCATGCTAGTTATCTTCCTACCAAATATGAAATACATCTGTCAATAAATAAAAGCTGTATGGGCAAAAGTGTAAAAATCTATTTTTAGTACAAGTGACCTTGACCCACTGATCCCTACCCCAATCAAAAGGATGAATACCATGCAAGTTATCTTCCTACCAAATATAAAATATATCTGTCACTTAATAAAGGCTGTATGAGCAAATGTATAAAAATGTATTTTTAGCACTGGTGACCTTGACCCAACTGACCACTAACTCTATCATAGTTTATAATTCTATCAATTATAAATGACATCTGTCTATAGAATAAGGTCAATACACCTGTAAAAATGTAAAAATGTATTTTTAACATTGGTGACCTTGACATTGGTAACATTGACCTTGACCCAAATGACCCCTTACTACACCCAAAGAAAGAGGACCTCACTTGGCATGTTTGTATTAAACTAAGACATCAACTAAAAAATAAAGGCTGAATGAGCAAAAATGTTTATATTTATTTCTTAAACCAGTGACCTTGACCTTGACCCTAGAGACCGTTTACTCCACAAAAAATTAGAGGACCATCAAAGGTATCCACCTACTAAATATGAAGACATCATTAAAGTAATTAAGCAATAAGGAGAAATTTAAGATAAATCCAACTTGCCGAAATAGGTTTACCAGACAAGGCCCTATTTTCAAAGTGAAAAAAGGGAAATAACTGGGAAATATTGATGACACAGTTATATAACTTGGCAATATCATATACTTTGTATTGATAAGTAAGTGTGGAAATTATAAAGCCATTAGTATAGATAGAACTTAAGATATTTCCAACTTGCCGTTTTAGGTTAACCTCGTACGGACAGACGGACGGACGGTTCAATTACTATATGCCCGGGGGCATAAAAACATTCAAGTTACATAAGTCCTCATAGAAAAAAGTTCAGTTAATCTTACGATGTTCTTAAATTGTCAAACGTTGTTTTTTTTTCAGTCCTTGGCAAAGCATTAAAGAAAAGACTGTATTTCAAAGAATTTTAGAAAAAAGCTTTCAAACGTGGGAATTATAAACACATAATATGGTACTTATTCAAATATAATATTGTAATATAAAACTTACTCCTCTTCAAAACCAGTTGGGAAAAACACGGCACATGTGACACGCTTTTTTTTCTTGTACACTTTCCGTACCTGAAGAACATAATCATATTCAATGCACAAGTCAACATATGCTTTCTGCACAACAAGAGAGCCCTAAGGGCCTTGGTTTGCTCACCTAAGAAACCAGGTTAAAAACTAATACTTCAGTCAAAATTGAAAAGGTTTTTTTAGCTCAGCAGTACATCTTAGCAAATGTACAGATTTTTCTTTTTGCAAAACAAGAGAGCCATAAGGCCCTTGGATTGCTCACCTAAGAAAGCAGGCTATAAAATAATGGTCTACTAAGTATTTCGTCATAAGTCATAATGAATCTTTTTTTAAATTATTTTTCACTTTATCTCTGCATGACATCTTAGTCAGTAACATGACTGTTTTCAGACTTTTTGGAAAAGTACTATTCTATAAACGGTCATCAAAATCTGTACTGCAGTCAAAGAAGTGATGTCATTGGTGATGTCATTTAACTCTTAGTCTGCTGGCAAAAACTGATTCACCCGTGCAAGCAATGCAGACTGAGATCAGCCTGCACATTTGTTGCGTCTATGCCCAAGCTAGCATGGCTCTATCCTGGTGGCAATGCCAGTCTATTTTGGTTCTTGCAGGTAAAGGTATAAATGGATGATGCTTATCTTGAACTTGTGGACAAGGACAAAGTTTTAAGTAAAACTATGTCTGAATTATTGACACATGTGACAGCTTGTAAATTAATATGTTTCACTCATTAACAGATTTCTATATATCAAATACATGTACATTGTACATACTAAAAACTGACTTTGAAAAACCTTAATTCAAGCTGGGTTTTACTTTTATATCTACTGAATGAAATTCTGTCTCATTTTTACTTTTCTATTTCATGAATTGAAATCCTGACACATTTTGTCATTCACACATTTACATATTATTTTAAAATTCTTATTCATTTTTTTCCTTTATTTGTTTTAAAATTCTCAGTCATTTCTCATTTACATGACTGTACATGTAGGTTAAATGCTGCTAAGTAAATTTTAGAAACAATTTGTTTAAAGTGATCAAAAAATCAGTCTGGAAATTATGGCATATCTGCTTGAACATAGATGTATAATGAAACATCATCTTACCAGAGCTGGTAAATGGGGCCACTTTTTCCACTTTACCCATACTATGTCATTCTCAGATGGCGTCTTTTCTACAAGACATGAAAATAAATATATAAACTGTATACTGGTACAGTACAGTACTTATAACTACAGATTAAACTTTACATATTAATTTTGTGCACTCTTAAATAAAAAATTAAAAATGATGATAATAAAGTCATAAACTTTTCTCCAGCTGATTTTGTGTACAGGATTTGCCCTGCTTTAAATTTGGAACAGTCCATTTGAAAACTAAGGGGATTTCAAAATCAAAATGAAACTAGAAATGTGTCCATAGGACACGGGTGCCCCCATCGCGCCACTGTTCTGTCAATCTTATGACTCTAGGTCAAATATTTTTTGAAAACTAAAAATCTTTTACTTAGTAAAGGGCAAGAATTTTACAAATACTGAATAAATTCACAAGCAAACCCCAAGGTGCATAAGTTCACATGCTGACCAACATTCTTGTAAACTTTCAGGCCTACAAGTGAAATACTTTTTGAGCTATGCATGAACAAGTTGACATAATAACTCTACAAATACTGGATAAATCCACAAGCGAAACCCCAGGTGCAAAACTAAATATGCTGAGCAACATTCCCGTAAGGTTTAATGACTCTGTGTCAAATCATTTTCGAGTTACATGCGACACAAGTTGAAAATTTCAAAAATTTTCTAAGTCAAAGGCAATAACTCTGAAAATACTAAATAATTCCAGACAAAAATACCCAGGTGCACAACTACACATGCTGATCAATATTCCTGTAAAGTTTCGTGACTCTATGTCAAATCCTTTTTGAGTTACATGCGACACAAGTTGAAAATTGCAAAAAATTTACCAAGTCAAGGGCAATTACTCTAAAAATACTAAATAAATCCAGACGAAAATACACAGGTGCACAACTACACATGCTGATCAACATTCCTGTAAAGTTTCATGACTCTAGGTCAAATACTTTTTGAGTTACATGCGACACAAGTTGAAAATTGCAAAAAAATTACCAAGTCAAGGGCAATTACTCTAAAAATACTAAAAATATCGAGACGAAAATACACAGGTGTAAAACTACACATGCTGATCAACATTCCTGTATAGTTTCATGACTCTAGGTCAAACACCTTTTGAGTTACGTGCAACACAAAAGAGAACGGACGGACGGACGGACGGAAGGACGTTCCAACATTTGGGGTTTAGTGGCTATTTTCTTTGTCATTTTCTTTGTTTTCCTAAGGGCAACTAGCCCATAAACCCTTTGATCATGGAATGAACCTATTGCTCTCTTTTGTTCTCTTTACTGTTATATAGCCCCTAAACCAAAATGTTTGCTCGGACGGACGGACGGACAAGGGTAAATCTAAATGCCCGCCACGAAAGTGGGGCACAAATACCATGCTACCAACAGTATAGAGCCAGTGGTTCTACTGCATCGATTAAACGACTGGCCTGACTCTATACCAGTTGGCAAAGACTTATTTGTCACCAGTAGAGCTGTCCTTGTTTCATTGTAAAGCATATTGAAGATGCATCCATATCAGATGACAAATATCTGCTATTTACTGATATATTGTTAACTACTTCAATATCTTGTATATAATTCACTTTCATACCTGTTTTATTGATTTTAGTAAAATACATGTTACATTGAATGTTCATACAAATATGTTGGGTCCTGTTAATAAATGTCCTTCAATTGATTTTTTTCCAACCATTTTTTGTCATCACTGCTATATTATAAAATGTGTTCATTATGTAAAAACATCTTAGTGTAAGACATGGCCACCAGTTTTTGTATATGTTTTGGATGAATTC